TATTACAAAAAAAAAAAATAAATAAGTAAGCCCTCAAGATTTTATTTCATCTCATTTCGTCTACGATAATACACGACTTAAATGTTTAAGTAAATTCTACCAACTGCGAGTCACTTAACTTTTGATATACCATAGCCTTTTATACATACAGTTAACATACTGAAATAATTATGGATTTAAAGGAAAATTCTTTGATGCCTGCGTCGAAGAAAATTAACCTAAATCGAAAAACTTAAAGAGAACTTTTACTTCCTGAAAAATTAAACAAGACATGTGAGTTTTTCCTAAAATGATAATTATTGCACAAACACATTACAGTCACACAAGATGTGTAAACATTATCAATCTAGTCATCCGGACTAGTTTTATATGCTCACTCAGCCAGTCACACAAATGGGCATGTCACCAGCGACTCACAAAAACAATATTCACCTATTCCAATAAAATACATCCACGTGGAAATTTGGTCTGTGGCGTCCACCGAAACCCCCGATGAGCCGTCCTCCCACATGGCCCATTCCTCTCATAAACAGTGTGCACCAGGAAGGCCGAAATCACCCCATACTGGCCGGACCGGTCTAATTCTCACTTGACCAGCCCTCTCAATTGTTTTTCCATTCTTCTTTTCTTTTCCATACCAACAGAGGCAACCCGGTCGTCTCCATCAAATTTCTAGATCATCAGGCGCTCACAAACAGGAGCCACCCTGCGGGCTGCGATCAACCTAAGATTATCCGGTGCCGAACCGCAAATAAAGAAGCCAACCCTTGGTTAACCGTAACGGAACAGTAGGTGCACACCGGGGCGCCGATCTCCCCATTTACCCGGCCGACGGTTCCAGTTTTACCAATTTCATCATAATCAGGATCCATGCTTTATCGACCGTCCTCACAAAACCCCATGGTGACCCACTTCATCCCAATTCCCACAACAAGCAAAAGCACAGCAAATATCCACAACACAAATAAATCAAACATTGCAATCAAATGCAGGACATATTATTCAATTAGGGACATCGTGATGCAATTGCACCATTAAACATCCAAAATCAATGCAAATAAAATAAATAAATAAATAGTATAAGTATTAGCAATTAACAACCAAATAATATAATAATAACAAATATTAACAATAATATGTAAATAAATAAATGAATATTAAAATAGTTAATGAATAATAAAGTTTATAAACAACCAGATGCACTATATTATTATTGTACAAAATTATAGAACTAATCTAAAATAAAACTTATTTAATTATGTTGTAATTAAAATTTATTCTAATTTCTATCAAAATTTCGCAGCATTCTCCCCTTAAAAATTGGGACTATCTACCAGCTCAAATATCCACAATATTTTATCAACTTAACCATTGGGTCCAACAAAAGATACAATAATCTCTTCGCAAATCCTTACTAATGAGAATCCCCATAAAAACAATTAGTACATCAATTATGTAGAGAGGAATTTAAATTCACCATCAAGTCCCTTATTTTTGTTATTAACTTCTCTATATTAAATGCCTTTCTGAAATAACTTGTTATTTTATTTTCTTTCTACCGAAATTTATTTTATTTTTCTACCGAAAAATTTCTTTTATATATTTCTACCGAAAAATTTCGGCAGGCATCTCCCCTAAAAATGACTATCCACCTGCCAAATATCAACAATTTACTCAATTATATAATTCTCAATCCCTATGGCCCATCCATCGGGCAATAAATCGAATAAAATTTCCCATCCTCCTTCAATCTCAACACTACCACACACAACCAAAATTATGATTAATATAACATTATGTCTACACTACCTTAAACCACCTACTTTAATTCTAATTAATATACCATTAATCAAAGTTTCCTTAACTAATTCAACACTAAATGAAAATATTATGCTGGGAAAAATAATCAATGAAAAGGAAATAAAATTAGCTAATTCACCCAAGACTAAAGAAAAACATTCTAAAATTAGTCCAAAAATTAAATTTATTATACCCAATCTTTGCTGCCGGAAATTTGTTCAAACTGGAAAAAAAGGGAGTTACGCGTGTTGGAACTAAGGGTTAGGTGAGAGCAATTGGCGCTTGAGTCCACCAAAACAGGCGCTACGCTCATCCAGAACTGGTGGCGCGAGCTAACGGACAGCAGAGGGGGTGTGGCGCAACAGGCGCAGTGGCGCCAACAAGGATTGGCGCTGCGTTCGTTCTTAGTGGCTAGAGGACACGCTTGAAGCAAATGGCGGAGCTGTGTAGCAGCCGATGCGCGACTTCTGGGGATGGAAGCAGGTGGTGGCGCGACTCTGCTTCTCGCCAAGAAATGTAGACGCAGATGAAGAGGGGAAGAAAGAAGGAAAGAAAAGAAGAAGGGAAGAAGAAGAAGAAGGAGAAGGAAATGGCGGGTGAACAGTGTGCTGTTGTGTCCCCGGTGATTCCGGAAAGCGCAAGAATGGGGAAGGGGAGAGTGGTGCCTTGCGTTAGGAAATAGAGGAAAAAGAAAATTCTAGATTGGTTTGGGTCGAACCGCGTTCGATTCGCGTTCGATTCGGCCCAAACCTTTGGTTTTTCAATGGTGTGTTTTGACTTTTTTCATCGGTTTTCGTTCGATTTCTCACAAGATCACACTAAAATTTAAATTATTAATTATTCAGGCTGTCGGTATATTAAATTTAATTGGAAAAATCTTTGAAAATACAAATTTATATATATATATATACATAAATAGATAAATTGCTGGACCTTTCATTATTAGTCGAAAAATTCCGAACGAACTATTTTTAGGGCTTAGCCCCAATATCGAAAATTTTGGGCTCGAATTGGACTATGTTTACAATTGCAGGCCCACGCGGCCCAAAAATTGCGAATTTTGATTTTAATTAAAAAAATGCAAAGGTTTCGAAAATAAAAATTCAGGGTTGTTTCCCAATCTCCCCCCCCTTAAGACAATTTCGCCCTCGAATTGAAATCTGTAAGAGAGATTAAGAATGAACACACAAGAGAATTTTAAAGCCATAAGAATTTACTTCCAACACCCAAGAGCACGGCTCGAGAGCTAGATAATTATGAACCTAGGAAAGAAAAGGGGTTCAAGGTATTCTAGTTGTAATTCTCGTCGCCAACCATCCTGTATTTAGTTGCCACCTAAACTAAACACTCACACAGAGTTTGAGTATGACCGTAAATCCTCCAATCACTATCTCTAGACAGCTACTGAAATCTTTAGAAATCTTGTCTTAATCAAAAGTTCAGGAAATCACTACTTTAATACCAACACTTTAAGAAAAAATCGCTTGTAACTTTCGTTTGTCTATTAGTATCACAGGGCCGGACTTCAAGCTTCATGCCTCTTGGTTTCTTACCTATGCGAATTCTTATTCTTCCTATGAAATTATTTCTTATCCTATACCAGTTCCACTATTCGATGACTCCTGGTCTAAAGGACCTCCGTTGCCCAACTCCATAAATATCTTACCTTTACAAAGATTCTCATGCTTTTGACCAACCATTCAACTTCTCTTTAACTTAATCTCTCAAATTACCCTTAAAACTTATCAAACCTAATGGACTTTCATAATAAACACCTTTTATCTCTCCTAGCTCTTATTATGTTTTAATAAACTTTTCAATTTCACAAATGTTGCTATTAGTTCGTCCTAAGGGATATTAAATATTCTTATTTAATTTATTTTTGTCCACTTGGTTTCTTCATACTACTAATCACACTCACCAAACTTACATAA